AGTGCGGTGTGTATTCGGACAAATAGTGATTCATATCTAAAATAAAAATATTTAGCTAAAGCGCTGAATACAAAAGTACATGATATTACAGATTGTTCAACGCATCTTATTACGCTCAAACCAACGTATTTCTTCCAAATATTGGCCCTAAATTCTTGTTGTTTTGCTTGGTGAATTATTTCAGGGTCAACTCAAAAACTCATTTATGAACTTCAGGGTATCCACATCCATAATAGAGGAAGCTCAATGAGATGTTTTGCTTCTACAATATTTTCTGACAAGCCCGGAACCATGTCATGGAAGCGACTGGGAAATTTTTAATTTGCCGCTGCATACCATCTATACAAAGAAAGGGGGGGTGGCGTGTATTACTACAGTAACATTAAAACATTATTTGGGCTACACCTTCTTACAGTTGCAATGTAATTTATTCCTCACAAATCGAATTAATTCCTTTGACAATCTGTCAAAATTCATGGTGATTTAGTTTAAAGCGAATTATTTTCTAACTACAGATTTCACCTCATTCCTGTCTAGTTTTGACTCGCCCGGTCTGTCCAGTTGTCGACGGTGGATGCAGTGAGGCGGTCCCGAACAGGATTGTAAAAAAAAAAAAAAAAAAAAAAATAAAAGAAAGAAAGAAAGAAGTTGGTCTTAAGGCAGTTTTGTGGTATTGTTTGTGAATATATCTTGGGGTATTAACTTTTGACCAAAAACTATGGCTTCTTCGGATGTTGCTCGGCAGCCGGTTAGTATTTTATCTTCTTTATGGTTGACAAATGACAGTGGTCTTGACAGTTGAGCAGGGAGTGTCCGGGGCTATCATTAAGTTAGCTACCGCTAGCCCGACACTACTTTGTGTGTTTTATCAGTCAGATCAAACATACTTTACACACACTTTCAAAGACAAAAACACATCTGCCCTTCACGTCGACCTGTATCCAGAACATAAAGCGGTGGTTTTTAAACTTTTTAAAAGAGGGATTCCGTGTTACATCTTCAAAATACACGTACGCTATCCGGCTAACACTAACACAAACTCAGCCATTCAATACTCAAAAGTTTATGAAAACAGTTGTGTGCTGCCTGCTTAAACACCCATGTGCCACAGTTACTAGTACGAAAGTTGTACGCCATGTTTTACTGCTAAGTTTTGTAGGTTGTGGTAGTTATTAAATAGTTTGACCAGGGCCACTAAATGGCGACTTTTTTTTTGAATGAAGTTTGGCGTACACGTAGTTACTCCAACCAGGACATTTGTCGAAACAAAGACAACGTAGTTTACTATGATGAAAAGTTGGGAGGTCTGTCGTGAGTTACTTTATATTACACTGGCGTTAGGTCAGTGTTACCTCTCTGTGTATCTCTCTAGGGATGGTCTGGGGGAAGATAAATCAGACAGAGTATGTAAAGTGAGGTAGGCTTTTTGTAGCTTACACATCGGAATGAATTTGCTAATATGTGATATGATTTTACAGCTTTTAGAGACTGCTGTTGGGGTTTTATATTGGTTGCCAAGAGCCACTTGTAAATGTAATACTTTAAATCCAGTTAAAGAGTTAAATCTGAAAAAAAATAAGATTTATGTATTAAGCAGTAGTTGTGTAAGAATATTAAAAGTGCCTGAACCACTTGATGTTTGAATGATTACATTTGTTAATTGCAAGTGTTGTGTGATTTCATTAAAATTTCCCGGGACAAATCTTAATCGATAAACAACATATCGAAGTTAATATCTAAGTGTAAATCTATATATTATACGGTATGGATTGTTTATATATATATATAATATAGCTACAATCTTCGATGATGCTGGTAGGAAGTCGCTGGCGTGTGAACATCTTCTAAAAGTTTCTTTTCATTCTTCTTATTTAAGGAGAAAACGGCTCGACCGTGTTAAGAATGATCTGTCTCTGTGTGATTTCTTCCTCAGGACAAAGGAGTCCGGCCCCTGTCCCTCGCCGGCCATGTGGGCTTTGACAGCCTCCCGGATCAGCTTGTCAACAAGTCGATCTGCCAGGGCTTCTGCTTCAATATACTTTGCATCGGTACCTTGACGTACATACACAACAATACACACACCCACACACTGAAACATAGATGCGCACAGGATGTTACTACTAAAATAAAAATACCATTGGTCAGAGGGAAATGTCCTGCACAAACTTTAAATAGCCAAAACACCATCGGCAGCAACCACAATTTTTTTTATTCACTCAAAAATAGCAGCCCGCACAACCGTGTCATGGTCAGTTGACAAATTGCAGATGTATCAAGGACAACATCGCATCATATCCACTGTTACAAAAGTAGTGTGACTTCTTTTTGTGTGTGTTTATAAATGTGTGGTTGAGCAAGAGAAAGGGTGGTGATGAATGCGAGTGCTGCCGATGAAAATAGGAGTTGTCAATCTGGCATGAAAATGTACAGTGTAGGTTACAGTTTGTCCGTAAATGAAGGCTGCAACTTTCGTGTGCTGTTGCCCAACTCCTGAAATAGCATCACTATGACGGTCAGCTCTACTTATATATACTGTCTGCGGTGGAAAACAAAGCAGAGGTACCGAAAGCGAGTCGCGTAGAATCGAGCTGTACGGTACTATGCAGTGGAAATACGGCTTTAGCCTGTCTGTTAGCAGTTGAGGTAGACAATAGGTCAAAGGAGGATTGTGATGAGAAGGATGCAGCTGTTTCAAACCTGTTTCTTGACCTGCTGGTAAATGTGTGGTTGGATGAATAAGCTATATTTTTTCTTCCTCAGCAAGGTGCCGATCCCCCACTGCTCCAGTGCAGCTTGAGGGTGGACTTAGCTTTATGTTGAGTCATCCTTTCCTTAGTGCAGCAGTAGGCAACCTGTGGCTTCTACAAAAAAATATGTGGAAATGAATAACAGCTACTTTTTAACATTTTTATTTTCATTTATCATTGTTGTAAGTGATTCTTACATTCTCTAATTGTAAAAAATGTGTAGCCAGTACACCAAATAAAACATCTTTTAACATTTTGTTAACTATATCTTTTGTCATACTTTACATCCTGACCTATCACCTTTTCTTATGTATTTTGCCAAACCTCAATTTTGAGGCCAGCTATGGATTACTAATCCCCCCAAAATGTCTGAGGAAAATAGAGAATTTAATACTGCATGCTATGCCTTCACCACCAACGCTGCTACCTGTAATGGTAAAGGTTGCAGACCCCTGCCCTAGTAAACCTTCATTTTAGGAATATTGCATAATATTGAATTTGCAATTCAAGTTTGTGCCAGTCTCTGATGCTTACACTACTAAATTGAATTAAAGTTCATTAACTAAACTTGTATCCCATCTTTTTCTGGCTCTAGGTGAAACTGGCATCGGCAAGTCTACCCTGATGGACACTCTGTTCAATACCAACTTTGAGAACTTTGAGTCGTCCCACTTTGAGCCTCAGGTGAAGCTACGGGCTCAAACCTACGATCTACAGGAGAGTAACGTTAGACTACGCCTTACTGTGGTCAACACCGTGGGCTTCGGAGACCAAATGAACAAACAAGAGAGGTTGGTGGAAGAGAGTGTATGCGAGTGCGTTATCTAATGTGTTCGAGAGGGAGAATGTGATTAAGAATCAGTGTTTAGTTTAATTGAATTGAATTTTATTCTAAATTATTTAAAATGTTTTGTTTTGTGAACTAATCCTGTTCCTGATCAGCCTGTTATATGTCTGTCCTTTAGCTATCAGCCGGTGGTGGACTATATCGACAGGCAGTTTGAGAGCTATCTGCAGGAGGAGCTAAAAATCAAGCGCTCTCTTCACAACTACCATGATTCGCGAGTCCACGCCTGCCTTTACTTTATATCCCCCTCAGGTCATTCACTCAAATCCCTGGACCTGGTCACTATGAAGAAACTAGACAGCAAGGTAGGAGATGGATAACTGATTGTGCGCGTGCGTGCGTGTGTGTTAAAGGGTCGGACTGATGTATTGGTTTGTCTGAAATAGCATAGACTATTCAAAGGTACTGGTTTGTCCAGACAGATATACAGTAGAGGGTGGCATTGGGATTGGGATCCCGCAAGACTCAATGCAAATCTCACAGGAGCAGGTGGTCAAAAAAAACAACTGCAGGTCACCAGAGGAATGGAGACAGAGTCAACAAATGAAGTCGAGAGGAAGATTAAAACAGGTTTTTACAGAACAAAAGCACAGCATTTACACATATTTGGAGACTTTTCTCAGTTGTTACTGACACAGTAAAATATTGTCTTTACCTGTGGAACAGGAGAAGACACATAATCTGTACTGTGTGGGTGTGAATGGTCAGAATGCTTAAGAGCAGGCGGGAGTGGACACACGCATAGTGGGAGCAGGTGGCAATGATCAGAAATCCACCAGGAACAGGTGGGAGTTGGATTAAGAAAACAGTCCCACCCAGGGCTGTAATATACAGGACAGTTTTGGAATTGGCTGGAAAATATCAGGCAAATTTCTAAAATGGTTCTTAATATCGGGATAGTTGTTTTGGATTGCTGAATACTGTTTTTAAAATAACAATTTGGCCGATACTCACGTTTTTTGTTGTTGTTATTTATTCACTCTATTGTGCCAGGGCAGCAAAGTCGCATCTCTGTCTATTTCTCTTCTACTTCTAACGTGAGATGCAGAGCTGAACAGCTGCTCACTGTCCGTGCTGATGGATGGAGCACATAGGTATTTGCCTGCAATTTGTGGCTGTGCTGGAAAATGGAAGAGATTATTGCTCCAGTATCTGAGTGCAGTGCAGAATTGATACGACACACTGACA